AGAGAAAGAGAAGAAAGATGAACTATATATTGGAATGGAGTTTAGTTCTGATGAGAGTGCACATATAGGTTATAAACAGTATGGAGGCAATCATTGTTTCAACGTAAGGAAACAACGGAGGACTAAAAAAAAGAGAAGGTAGTAAGGCTTCTTTATGTTTGCGCAAAACAAGGGTATAGGAAAGAACCTAAGGTCAAAAAATCTTATTCACAACCAATCACACGGTGTGGTTGTAATGCTCATATGACTTGCTACCTTCAGAACAACGGAAGATATAAGATTGTGTCTTTCGAGACAAATCATAACTATGATTTAGTGAGGACACCTATGAAGCATTTGTTGAAGGGAAATCGTGCAATCTCAGTCTCTCAGAAACATCATGCTAATGATGCCGACATGTCAGGAATTTCAGCAAAGGCAACCGTTGAAATGATGAGTATAGAAGTTGGGGGGCGAGAAAATCTGGGTTTTTTGGAGAAAGACTATCGAAATTATATATACCGAAAGCGAATGGCAAAAATGGAAAAGGGTGATGCTCGAGCAGTTTGGAGTACTTTCAAAAGAAGAAAGATGGTAATTCATCTTTTTTTTATTCAATGCAACTTGATGAAGACGATATGATCACTAATATATTCTAGGCAGATGATCGGACTATAAGTGATTATAATATTTTTGGAGATGTTGTTTGCTTTGACACAACTTATAAGACCAATGAGTATGATAGACCCTTTGCTCCATTTGTCGGCGTTAATCATCACAAGCAAACTGTTGTGTTTGGTGCTGCTCTCTTATATGATGAAACTACTGAGTCATATAAGTGGCTTTTTGAGACTTTTCTTGGAGCAATGTCTGGAAAACAACCAAAAACAGTTCTTACATACCAATATGCAGCAATGGCGAATGCAATAGTGAAGGTATTCCCTGAACCAAAACATCGGTTATGTGTTTGGCATATTTATCAAAATGCTGCAAAGAAGTTGAGTCATGTATTTCATGGAGCAGAACAATTTGCCATAAATTTTAGTAATTGTGTATATGACCATGAGGAAGAAGAAGATTGGTTATTGGCATGGAAAAATATGCTCGAGAAGCATAAATTGACAGAGGATAAATGGTTGAAAAATTTATTTGAGCTGAGAGAAAAATGGGCAATGGTATATGGACGTCATACTTTTACAGCGGATATGGTGAGCACACAGCGTAGTGAAAGTATGAATAATATTTTGAAAAAGTACTTGAAGCGTAGTTATAACTTGTTGTGCTTCTTTGAACACTATGAGAGAGTGTTGGAGGATCGACGATATAAAGAATTAATTGCTGAATTCAATATGATGCATACTTCGTCGGTAATATGTGCTACTGTAGAGATGTTGCAACATGCAGAGGAAGTGTATGCACCAAAATTTTTTAGCTTGTTCGAGAAGCAATACAGAGTTATTGGTGATTACATTGCCAAAAAGGTTAGTAAGTCTGATATGGTGTATGAATACAAAGTATCTTACCGTGGTGTAGCACGAGAGCATTTAGTTAATTATGATGCTGCAAACGAGACAATACATTGTGCTTGCATGAAGTTTTCTTTTGCTGGGATCTTATGTCGTCATGCATTGAAAGTGTTGGACAAGAAGAATGTTAGAAGAATTCCATCTACCTACATTATAAATCGATGGAGCAAAGAGGCAAAAGCACGAAGCATATCTTATTATCATTTAGAGACACCTAATGAAACAGCGAAACAATCGATTGGAAGGCGATATAGCCATATATGTCGTACTTTTCGTGAGATTGCATTTGTTGCTGCTGATCATATAGAATTGACGTTGTGTGCAAATGAAGATGCCATTCAGTTGCTTAAAAAATTGGAGGAAAAGAAAAAAGAACTTGTGAAAGCTAATGCATGGATGGTCCAAAGTTCAAATGGTGAACTTGTG